TGTATTGTCTTCCCAGTTTAAATTGGTTTTTATGATAGATCCATTGTGTCGAAGTTGATGATGGGGACAATAGAGTAAATCCCTAGCCACAAATAAGAAAGTGGTCGATTTCTTGCAGGACCATACTTTGTTATTCAACTCACATTGTCCGTCCTGGAGTAATAATGAGGTGATAATATTTATTATCTGGCCATAAAAACCACTTTAAACTGGAAGTACTTTACAGTCGTTGGTGATTCTGCAAGCTATTCCAATTTATCAGCACAGTTTACATTCCGTCTCGAGCATCAGACACATGGAAATCATCATTTTTGCTATGCGATTTTGATAATGTTCTTTCTGTAGGCAAGGACATTGAGAAAAAGCTCCCTCTGGTCTTGAGTTCATTTTTATGAATACTTATTGGTTTTTACGTGTACGAAAGTCATATTAAATATTTATGCTTTAAAGTTCAGTGATGCGTGAAAGAACGTGTACGTGTAATAGAAATTTCATCATTTTAAAAACTGGATTTACTTATGTAAAAATGGTCTAAGGTTTATTTATACAGCACAATACAATACAACAAATCCTGCTTCTGCGAAAAATGATAAAATTTGATCGTGCGAAATTTTATTTAATTTAAGATAACCCCTATAACTTAAAATAAAGACTGATATGTAGGTATGTAATGTTAATAAAGGTAAAGAATCATGCTATTTTTATGTTTCAAGTAACTGTTTTCTTTATAAAACTTTGTGATGATGTCATCAATATAAAGACACGTATATCATTTTGGATAGTTGTAATGTAATAAAAACAAGTACTGTATTTGCACTTTTTCAGGAAAATTGTCTGAGCCGTTCTTGAATTAATCAATAAAATAAACTGACTCATTCCTTTTTTTTCAGTCACCCTGTATAAGTATAGAGTATTTACAATATTTTGCACGTTTTGGTGTAAATTGTGTAACTGTGATGAAAAATTGTTCCAAGTTGTTTCGACAGAACTTCCCTTGCACTTAAAGTACAATGAAAAGGTATTGCAACTGTGTTGATTTACCATAAGGTAGAGCCTTTTTCATATCTTATCACGATATATTCGTGTTTTTAAACTTACCTAACAAGCTAGGGCTGGATTCTGGATTCACGCATTCATTAATTTTTTGAGTCACTCTGTATATGCAAATCGAAAAAATTTGAATGGAATGATAAATCACAAGTACAGACTCATCATATTTTGTACATTTTAGACAGGATTTATTCAGCAAAATTTTGGGGTGACGTCATCAATTTTTTAGGGGGGATGAGCAAATACATTTTGATAAAAAATTTACCATGCTTATGATAACTTTAAAACATCTCCAAGATTTCAAAGCATTCGGTTCTGTAATTCCTGATTAAATCAATAAAATAAATTGATGCATTCATTAATTTTTTTCGGTCGCAAATCGAAAAAATTTGAATGGAATGATAAATCACAACAAGAGACTCACCATATTTTGTACATTTTAGATAGGATTTATTCAGCAAAATTTTGTGGTGACGTCATAAATTTTTTAGGAGGGGACGACCAAATACATTTTGATCAAAAATCTACCATGCTTATGATAATTTTAAAACATCTTCAAGATTTCAAAGCATTCGGTTTTGTAGTTCCTGAGTAAATCAGTAAAATAAATTTTGCGCATTCATTAATTTTTTTGAGTCACCTGTATATGCAAATCCAAAAAATATGAATGGAGTCGATATATTTTGACTAAAGATTTATGATGCTCTTTAGAGCCTTAAAACATCTGCAACATTTTAAAACATTCGGGTTAGCAGATTCAAAATTAAATTGCAAAATGTTTTTTTATGATTTTGATTTTTTTTCCAAAAATCTGGACGTTTCGGGTAAAAACTGAATTCGGAGTCGTAAACTACATGTGTAGGACTATGTTATTTTATACAATTTAAGACCCATTTACTATGTACAATTTTGAAGTGACGTCATCGCATTAGTGGTGGGGATGATTAAACAAATTTTGGTTAGCGTTTTACCATCTACATGATATTCCTAATATAAGTACAAAATTTCACAACAATCGGTCCAGTACTTTCGGAGATTATCTGTCTAATAAAAATCCGGGACGGCAGACGGACAGACGGACAGACGGACGGACAGACAGACGGACAGACGGACGGACAGACAGACGGACAGACGGACAGACAGACGGAAATGGGAGACCTATTTCTTCGTATTCTAGGAGTCATGAAAGATCGAGAAAACGTAAAAGTAGAGAGTCGGCCGACGGACTCGATTACAATACTTCCTTTGCTTACGCTCGGGAAGTAAAAAATGCAAATTTCAATTAAATTTTGGGAAAAAACGTGTGCGGTAGAAAAAATAGTATAAATAACTCGTTCATAAGGCCATTGAGGCACTCATCCTTTATATTACTCGCGGCTTCGCCGCTCGTTCTATAAACTTGGATTCGTGCCTCAATATTTGCCTTATGAAACTCGTTCTTTAATATACTATTATTGATTTAATCCGACTGCTCTGAAATCTTGCAGATGTTTTAAGGTCATAAAGAGCATAATAAATGTTTAGTCAAAATATATTTGCTTATCCCCTCCAAAAACTTGATGACGTCAGCTCGAAAGTTTGCCGAATAAATCATATCTAAAATGTACAAAATATGATCAGTCTGTACTTGTAATTTATCACTCCATTCATATTTTTTGGATTTGCATATACAGGGTGACTCAAAAAAATTAATGAATGCGTAAATTAATTTTTTTGACTTAATCATGAACTGCAAAACCGAATGCTTTGAAATCTTGCAGATGTTTTAAGGTTATAAAGAGCATAATAAATGTTTAGTCAAAATACATTTGCTTATCCCCTCCAAAAAATTGATGACGTCAGCTCGAAAGTTTGCCGAATAAATCCTATCTAAACTGTACAAAATATGATGAGTCTGTACTTGTGATTTATCACTCCATTGATTTTTTTTTTTTGGATTTGCATATACAGGGTGACTCAAAAAAATTAATGAATGCGTAAATTTATTTTATTGATTTACTCAGGAACTACAAAACCGAATTCTTTGAAATCCACTGCGAAAAAAAAAACATAATAGGCATGCAGTCGTCACGTTTCCGACAGCGAGGGAAGTACTGTCTAAACTCTTTAGACGAATTTTTATTGCTAGTGGTAATATTTGGAACAATCATGGTAATAATAAAAATAATGAAAAGAATAAAGACTGGAAGTATTTGAAATAAAAATATAAAATTAATAAGAAAGAAGAAACATTTTAACAAAAAACAAGAAGACTTAACTTTATTTTACCATATGTGTATAACAAATTAGCGTACGGCAACATGTGGAGTACTACGTTCCAAATATTGCCATCAACATGATTTTATATAACTGTAAAAAAATCATCAGTTTTGACATTCTTACCAATATTACTTTTGTTTAAAAGAATTTAAAAAAGATTGCACTTGTTACCTACTAATTAATCTATTGATGAAATTTTAGCTTTCAAGTCTTGAAACTTAATCTACAAAAAAATTCAGTTACTATCTACACGATATTCGTAACATACGTATAAAATTTGACAAGAATCGGTTTGGTAGTTTCGTCTAATAAAAATTCCCTGTTTTACATACTCTGGGGGTCATGAAACGTTGAGAAAAACTGAAAGCAGCTATTCGTCGGATGGACTTTATTACAATGCTTCCTAAGCTTACGCTCGGAAATACCAAAAAAAAATATATATTTATATAGCAATGTCTCATATATTGATGAGTTACCAGTTAATTTTTTGCATTCAATTCCATAACAGGCTGTATAATGTTATAGTAAAACTCAACTGTCCATGACAAACGAACATGTACGTCAGCCTATTTAGAGGCGTTCTTTTTTACAGATAACGGGTATTCAATTGAAAGAGTCATCAAGTTAATATCGCCTTTTTTGACATAAGTAAACGTAGTAGAGAACGCAAGTTTTTTTAATTATCCATAGCGTTGTAAATAATTGACATTTCCGCACTGTCAACTGTCATCACTTAAATCTTAGGTTTATTGTAGACATACTTCACAATGTTAAAAAAAAGTCAAGGTCACCTTGATGACTTTTTCAATTGAACATTCGATACTTCATAATTTTAAACCCCGTTTAAAAGGAATATAACTAGAGGTTAAATTTTACCAGAAAATAATAAAACATTTAAATTATGTATTATAAATTATTAAAATTCGCAGAACGTTAAATTTATTTTGAAAGAGTGTTTAATATTTTTGGGTACCATATCTAGCGCCTCTATTTTTTTACAGTTCTGAGATTTAGAACCTTTGTCAAATAAAAATAAAGTTCTTTCTTTGTACTGGATTACTGTATTCTGCTTTCCTACATTTCCAGTTATGATACAAAATAAATAACCTTTATTAAATATACCTTACGTACTGTGTGACACTACTTAACATGTTATACTTACACAAGAATTAGATGCCTGTTGTACACAATTTACTCGTCTAATGTGCACCAATGAATAATAATTACCAATGCCCTATTCAAATAAAACCCAGAAAAGTTCGCAAAACCGGCCGGTAAAAAGGTTCATCGTCAAAGAGTCGCCTTTATAAGTTGATGTGCAATTACAGTGTTGTCCGTTACAAGGCCTTCAGATATAAAATAATAATTACACGATACCGACATAGTGATGACATGCTAAAACCGAAAAACAATAGTACCCTTTCAACGACTCTTCAGTCAGTCGTCGGGAATTAATTTGAAGCTCAATAAAGTCGGCAACAACTTTTCTTTTTTGCACGACGTTTTTCCATACTACTTAATTTATCTCTGATTAAAAAATAACGATTTGTCCTTTTGCAAGCGTAGAAAAACTGTAGCCAGTGTCATAAACATCTGGACGCATGGCAGAAGCCAGAAGCACACTTCAGTCTGACTTTATTACACTTGTTTGTTTACAAATTATCTGTTCTGAGGTTTTTTTATTATTACAGAACAAAGAGAAGTGGTCATCAGGGAAGGCCCATGTGAGAAAGGAATGTGCGGCGAAGAGGAGGCTTGCAAAGATTTTCAAAATAATACGCACACGTGTATTTGTACACATGATTCACTTCCGCCCACGGCAGAAGGTACTTGCCCCAGGAGGACAGGTGAGATGTTCAAATTCATTGTATTTTTACACCTACCACTAGAGGACGAAATTATTTTTGTTATATTATTTGACGTCACGATGTGTGGTCTCTGTCCGATGGATAATATATCGGTCTGACTTCGCGATGGCAGAGCGGTCTGTTTTTGTGTTATGATTTGTTAAGGGTACCAACATTGCTGTTGAAATAAAAAAGAATATGCTAATATATAGTGCTTAGGGTTAAGTCGATACTGATATTAGTTGATTATAAATTCTAGTTTTTGAATCCGAACCCAGGGAGAGCTACGATGTGTATAACTGGTTCGAGACGTTCTCCCGATTTATTGTTAACACTGATTGCATTTAAAACACAGTAAGGGTGCTTATGATTACAGATACAGACACTGTTCTGTGTATTATTTATATAGAGCAGAACCGAACCAAACATACCCTTTCCGAGTACACAACATAAAATATCGATGATGTACGAAATACCGAACTACGCTTGCGGGGCACCAGAGACATTGAAATAAAAGCAAAAGTAATGTAACCGTCTTCATTACGAAGTGACCTCTCTTTTATAACATAAATCAATACCTAATTCGCTGCAAATTTATTTCACTGTCACTAATATATTAAAAAAAAAATAGAGCAATTTTTTAAACTACGACATTCAGTGGTAAATATACCGGGTTGCTCAAAGATATGCAGTTGGATCTTCTTGAAATTTGGGCTATACTTAAAACGACTCAAGCTCTATTTTCTGTAATTTTTTTAAACTTTAAACTTTGTTTTTAAGATGCAAGGCTAACTTGACTTTTTTTTAATAGCACCACAAGTCACATTGTTAATTTTTGAATAGAAGAATTTTTTCTGAATTCAGAACTGTAACACATGCATACAGTTTTTTATCTAAAACGGCAAATAAAATAATAAATTAAAAAAAAAACTGTAGTTAGCTTCGAAAATAACGTCATCGTTATGTCAGTATGTATTGAAAAGCAAACGTCTACATTCAAGTTTAAATATATTTCAATTAGGAGCATTATTTTCTGATGAGTCTACTTTTTGTTTGAATGGACTTGTTAATCGCCATGACTGTAGATACTGGTCAACACAAATCCACACTGGATGGAGGAGGTTCATATACAGTACGCCCAAAAAATTAATGTTTGGTACGGCATTATTGGTTGCCACATTGTAGGCCCCTTCTTCGTTAACGGAAATTTAACGTCTGACAAATACCTTCAACTTTTGCAACAAAGTAGTATTCCTTGACTTAGACCAATATTTCCCAACTATGAAAAAACAAATTTAGCTGCAGAGTCCATCTGATTCCAACAAGATGGAGCACCAACTCACTTCATAGACCACAAAGTATCGCAGAACTCCAAGAAACAATATTAAAAGTGATTGCCGATATTCCTCCTAATATTCTAATAATAAATTCATGTGAAAACTTTGTGCAACCTATTTACTATTTCCAGGAAGTAAATGGAGAACCTTTCGACCATTTCTAGAAAAAATATTGTTATTTAACTGTTAATTTGATCTTTTTTCAACAATGTAATTTTTGATTTAAATTTTTCAAAAAGCTGTCATAACAGTGTATTGTTATTTCTAGAATATTTTGTAAATTATTTGAAAACAGCAGTTAAATCATTCTGTTACGTTGGCACGTTTATTTCAGTTTATATGCCCTCAGTTATATCATTTTTACAATGTTTGGGCACTAGTGTAGTTTTTGAATAAAGTGTCCTACGCCAAGATTATGACAGGTGATAGTATTGTCACGCCTAGCTAAGACTTTCTGATTTTCAATATTTTTATTTTGACAATTTATTTTACCATGTTGGGAAAAAATAAAATAATGCATGGGTTACATTTCTGAATTCAGAAAAAAATGCACTATTTAAAAACGGAACAGTTGACTACTAGTGCTATTAAAAAAAATCAAGTTAGCCCTGCATCTCAAAAACAAATGAAGTATACAACTTGAAAGAATTGCAGAAAATAGAACTTGAGTGTTTCTACGGGCAGCCCAAATTTCAAAAAAATTCAACAAACCGTTCTCGCGATAATTAACTGCTTCCTTATTTTTTAGTGACCCTGTATATTTGAAATAAAACGTCTGTAAGTTTTGTTACTTACATGAAAGAAGCGTGGATGAAATTAGGGCAGTGTAGGTACCTAGATCTTTTGTCGAAAATTAAAAATTTAAATAAACTCTATAAAAGAAGAAAAATGAAAAACATTACTGTCATTAATGTAATGTTTAACAGTTCTGCGACAAAATTTTGTAGCTTATAGCTATTTATATTTTATATGTTTAACAGCTTCTTAGTAACAGAACAAAATACATACATATATATTTGTGTACATGTACTACAAAATAAAATTGCTGGTGAACATATAAGAAATAGTTATTTTCATGAAAGTTATCTTTTACTGGACGAAGAATGAGGCCGGAAGGCATAGTATTTTTAAACTCCTGAGTCCAGTAGAATAATTTTCAGCATGTGTTGTGTATAAAATTTTTCCTAGAACCACGCGAATTGTTTAAATTGTTTCAAATTTCCGTTTTGAAATTGTTGTTTGTGACAATATTATTACGTTGAACGGGTATTTAAAATCGGCTGGGTTAAACTCAACAATTTATGTCTTAATAACTCAAATTTACACGACTGAATTACACAACGATTATGTTCAAAATAATTCCGGCGCAACTTGTCTGGCTTCTCTTGACACTCTTGATGTGCCGTGATCGAGGTCTTTCTCGAATACCCATCGCGACTTCCGCTTCCAGTCTTTTCTTTAGCGAACACCGCCCGGCCGCCGTCACCGACGATGAGTCACGCATCATTGCCCGTATGGGAACTCATAGGCGTGGTACCGAGGCGGCGTATGGGTTTCTTTCGTAATAATATAATCAATTGTGTGGAAAATATCTGATTTGTGTAGCCGTTTTGCACATAAACAGAAATAAACAATAACGATTTAGTTTTGAATTTTTGTAATCATGAATTGTGTTCTTTATGATGTAGCCGAGGCTGCGGCGGCTGTAGTAGAAAATTTATTGCCAGAAAATCATAGGAAACAGATTATTGATTCTTTTATGAGACCATAAAAAATGAGCATATTTTCCATTGTATGTACTATTTTTGTAATTGGAAGAAGTACCGTAAAATCTTTACACTCATAGTACAGTAATAGTCACTGTGTCCTTCGCAGCCTCTTGCCCTTAGTTAATTAATCTCCGAAACTACTGAACCAATTGCTTTAATATAAAATTTCGAATTGAAGAAAAATGAGTTTTCCGGTTTATTTCCTGAAGATTTTTACTTCCTCATTTGCGTGAAGCATGCGTTCATTTTAACCATTATCCATTTCTATGTTTTTTGCTATTTGAAAGCTCGCACAAAATCCAGATTTCCCGCGGTATGCCTATCTGTTCTGTTCTGGTGGCAACATTTTTAGAAAAAAATTCATCTAAGGTTATTTAGATGGAACTTCCCTCGTTTCTGAAGTACAGTGCACCTTTTCAAAATATTTATAAAATTTGATTTTGGGGATTTTATCCTTTTTTATGATGACCCCTACTAATTAAACTAAAGATATGTGTATAGCATTAAAGTCCAGGCAAAAAAGCATGCTAAGCGGGTGTTTCATGTGAACTTTTCCATTACAAAATTTTTTAGGAAGAACACGTAAATTAACTTGGATGGTGATTCGATCAATAAAATAAATTGGTTCATGGATTAATATTTTTGAATCACCCAGCATGAGCAATTCTAAAAAATATGGACGCACTGATAAACCACAACTACAGAGTCATAATATTTTGCACATTTTAGATAGGATTTATTTGGCAAATGACGTTATTAATTTTGTGGGGAATAAATGGATATATTTTGATTAACGATTTACCATGCTTATATAGTTTAAACGTAAAATTGTAAAATGTTTCTATAAATTGTTTTTTTTTTTTTCAAAAATCTGGATATCTAGGGTAAAAAATAAAGACGAATTCATAAACCACAAGTGTAAGGGTATGTTATTTTATAAAATTTACATGACATTTACCATGCAAAATTTTGAAGTGACGGTTCGGAGATTATTTGTCTAATAAAAATGGACAGAGACGACAGGCAGATGCAGATGGGTGACCAATATTTCATACTGTAGAAATATGAAATGTCGAGAAAACATTAAAGTAGACAGTCGTCGAATGGACCTTATTCTATTATCATATTTCGTTTAGCTTGAAATAAAAACCGGTTGCTTCTTCTCTTAAAATTAACCTGAAGACAGTAAATACGCTAATATTAAGAAATAAAATTTGCAAATTACGTTTTTCATTTTTTTACAAACTGAACTTGTTTAATTAATTATTGTGCTTTAGAGCATTTTTGTTTTTCATTTTGTTTTCCGAACCTAAGATAATTTTCGTTATTTTGACACGTATTTCCTATGTTGTAAAAGAAAACAGATATTTCCACAAATTGCTGAAGGGAATGTGTTCAGTAATAAAAAATAGTTTCTTTACTTCGATTCTTTGAATACCTATTAAGTTTTATGCCCTGAATGTGGCAATATTTGCTCTTGTGTATATAAATAACTTCCTAATGCTACAAAATAAGTTCACTGAAAAAGCTATTTAAGTATATTTCCAAATTCTTACGAAAAAATTTGCGTCGCCTATACATCTTGAGTGTAGAAAGACAAGTAAAAGCAATAAATATTTTCTCTTCGACCAATAAAAGTGTTGTCTGTCTAATACTATTCCAAATAAAATAAAAAATTGGCCATAAGCACGTTTGAAGGCTTAGTTGCGTAAATTGATATTACGTTTTTTATCGACTTGGAAACTGAGTGTGGCTTGACAGATGGTGGAATTAATAATTTTGTCTCCCATTCAATAAAATCAAATCAGCCTCGTATAATTATAAAAGAAACCGTAGAAAACAGATGTTTACAAGCTTCAAACCGTGAAATTCGATACATCTCCAACTTGTTGCATTTGACATTTTCAGCAACTCTTTTGATGTGAACATTTTTATAACATTAACGCTGATTCTAAAACGTCGAAATGATTTCCTTTACCTCTGGATGTTTAATTTTTCTTCCATTATTTGCGTTCTACATGAAAAATAAGGATTTTGATCCTGAGTAATGATATAATTTTACAGAGAAAATTTCTTTTTCACAGTTTTAAAAACAAGTAATCCGGAATTTAATTTAAATTAAATTCTTAATTGCGGAATACCAACATCGACCTGACATGTTCAGTAAAAAGGGATTTTATTAAAAAAAGAACAATTTTTTTACAAACAGATGTGCTGAAGAGATTATTCCGCAGATGTGATTTCACCCAAAAATGTTTTATATTTTCAAATGGCACGTACATAAATGACACAGTCGACGAATTTCAGACTTGAGTGCTTCATAGAAAAAAGGAGTCATAAAAAAATATGTCATTTTCACAAAAAGATGTATACTGGCTAAAGCTTTTAAATGGATATGCCCGACAGTGTTGTTTGGGTTTTTATATTACATATTCGTAAAGTAAAGCATACATATGTGTGGACAGGTTGATTTAATTAAATTGAATATATTATTTTACATTTAAAAATACATATTCTACATTCAATCTGACTACAATTTTTCTTTTAATTCCAGTCTCAATGGACGACAATGCTGGAAGAATTCCAAATGTTCAACCCCCACTAAACAAGCCAACACCATCGTCACTTAGTTCAACAACGATACCAGTCGTAAGTTATTATAATCTTATTAATATATCTTTATTAATGTTATTTTTCAAGTGTAGACCGCCGCTAATGAACATTTACCAGGACCGGACTACGTAATAGTTTCGATCGTAGTGTCAGCATGTGTGTTTTTAATAATGTTATCAGGAATATTATTCAGAAGAAAATTTAGGTCAAGACATCTAAGCAACGAAGGGGTGAGTAAAATTATTACTACAGTTACAGTATGGGATAATATTTATTATGACTAAATAAGAATATTATTTTCAACAAGTGTAATTCATTAAATTCTTATAGTACGGCGATACGTAATATCTAAAGGCTCCCAGAGATTTATAGGAAAATTTAGAAACTACATTTTCCACTAAATGGCTTACGAACAAGCGTCACTTCGATGAAATTGATATTTCGTGAACATTATTCTTGTAAGCTCTCTTTAAAAAGAATATAACTCAGTATTTAACGTTCTAAGATACTTCTAGTGTCCCTAATTCGTAGTACTCAAGTAGATACATACCTGACGAATCATCTATAGTGTACTCATTTATAAAAAAATATATGAAATATATATTCATTTCGACTTTGTGAATTGTGTAGTAGATGTTATAATCAAGCTCTGAATTGTTAGTACAAAAGGACAATTATTTAGGTATTGTTATTTCACATTTTACAAAGAAAATCATGCTATAGAGAACATTTTTCATTGTCTTTAAAGAAATCATTATTTGAGACCACCCTACGGAAGTGATCGCAACACTTAGTAAAATCCTAATACGATGAAAATTGTTCTTCTAAGCTTCTTGTAAAAGCCAATCACTGTTCTTTCTGTCGATATTTTATCCTGGAGATTTAGTGTTACACAAAAAACCAACATACAACACTTGATCAAATTATTTTTGAACATTTATTTAAAATTACACATATTTGGCATTCTTAAAATAAAGAGACTTCAATTTACTCCTGTCCAGCTTTGTTATTCAAATAATCAATAGATTCTTTGTTAGAGATAGCAAGTATTTTTAGACGAAAAGAATTCGAGTTGTCTTAAATATTCGACACATTTGTCGATAAAGTTTTCTACTCAAATAAAATTTTCACCATTCTGTAGGCCGAAATGGAGTATCGTTTAAAAACATAAACTTGCTAATAAAAAAACAATAAAATTTTACAACAATGCATACATCTTAATTGGATGTTAATTTCTACAATTCTGATTCCTAGATGTAGATGGATATTATGAGCTTTCAATTTAATTTTATGCCAAGATTTTTGCATAATGTTTCCTATAAGAGAAAAATATGTTACTTGCAAATTTGCATTAAACAACAGAGGATACTATACCTTCTTTCAGATGAGTGTGACTTACTGATGAGACTCTACATAATTCCAGTGTTTACCGTTGTTAGTGCCAAACCGTTTACACTGCTAGACAAAAAAACGGACACTTTTTATTAATAACAGTAATGCATTTGTACTTAGCATAATAAACATAATAATCTAAACCAAATTATAACAGTTTTCCTAGAACAATAATAATATATATTAATGTTTTCTTAAAAATTAATGAAAACACATTAAGAGAAAAAAAGTGGACCATATTATAGATAAAGTAATATAGGAACAGAAATGAAGAAAATTATACAAGGTCTTGAGAGGTATCATTTAGATAACCTTCGAATGAATAGAATGCCATTTTTAAGCAAAAAGCGAGGAATTTTAGTTAACAAACTTTTGCTCAGTAAAGTCCATAAGTAATTTGCAATTTTGTTACAAATGTTCTGTAGTGATAGCAGATATTTGTAGTACGAGTGTAGTATCATCACCAACTAATTTAAAATAAGATGTGAGATGGATTGTAATATATTCTGAACATCTATAAGTTTGAAGTATCCCTGGCAATTTCACTTGATTTTGCCTCTTTGTTTTAAATTTTCCACATCTACCTAATTAATCGGCTTTGCTATTTGAATAATTTGTACCTGGGTGTAATAGAATGATAGGTTATTATACTTCCATAACCTAAAGAAGAATGCATTAAAGCAAAATAAGCGATTCTTAAACAATTATTATTTTATAATGGCATGTGGCTAACAGGAAACGTCCTCAAACTAGCGTTAGACAAGTAACTTGTCTTTTTTGTTGTCTGTTACGCTTTTCGCGATCATACTTTACAATAGTAATATATTATTGGAACACCTCTAGGTATCAAACAAACAGAGATCGTACTAATGTATAGAATTTCAAAACTTGAAAGAAAAGCTAACCCTTTTTTGTACTGTTGTGTTAACTACCTAAGGCTAATGATTCCGACGGGAGGTTCAAGTGCACTGGTGGTTTGCCTCTTTACTCGTACCCATCTGGTTTGTGTTCATTACTTAACACAATGTTTTACAGTTGACATTAAAATATTTCTGAAAATATTGTTTGAAAAATTTTTAAATGCCATTCGCAGTGTTGATTTATTATTATGTTAATAAAATTGTACTAGAAATAAGAAAAGAAAATATAAAATAGATGTTTGGGTGTGTCTTGCAAAGTATTTAAATTAAATCAGTAAAAGAAGTTAAATTCTAGGCAAACTTTTACCATTTAAATTTACAAAAAAAATCATTTGATAGATACGACATTTTCAAAATCTAATATTTATTTAGAATTAGGTATTATGATGCACTAACATCAGTAATGGAATGGAATGGAATCAGGAATGTAATTTTTTGTACTTCACGAAAGTAAGCAATTTTGAAAAATAAATATATTTATTATTATTTTGGAAACAAATTTTAACTTGTTTATTAAATTATTTATTTTTATTTCTCGAGTTAAATATTTTTATTATAATTATTAAAAAGAGTAATAAACTACATAATAGAAAATAAAAGCTGATATGTCACTTAACTACATGATCCAATGGTTTATAAAGATCTTAAATGGAACCTTTTTTGAATATCGAGACTTAATTATAAGTAGTAAACTGATATGAAAACACTTTCAACATTAAAAATAATGACGTTTTCTATTAGATATAAGTACCTGGTCTGTAGGTTTTTCTTGCTTTTTACAAATTCTTGCAATGTTTATTCTGTATATTCTCACAAATTTGTAATTAGCACTTACCAAATATTTTCTAGATAGCCTTTTTTAGGGCAGAGGACACAGGTAAACCGTTTTCACCAAAACCTGATGATAGCTATAGTAAAACATTATTATAAAATATCAAACCGCGAGTGAAAAAACACATCCTTTACTTTTATTATTCCTTGAGTTAATTGACCGGCTTATTCGGTCAATTTTCCTGATCAAATTACCGATAATAAATGATCGCTCAATTTAATAGAGTGGCCATAATTGTCACCTTGGGGCCTTATTGTCATAATTTATGAATAATGATATGTTAATGAATTTTGTAATCAGCTGTCTGATATTTCTTGTGACTCGTATATTTACGAAAAACAATAACAAAAGAAAATAATATGTGCGTAGACAATAAGTTCCTCCAGATGCAGTTTGCGTCACAGAGTTTGTTAAAGAGTCTATGCATAGGCACACTTCTATACTCAAAATAATGTGGGTCACATATCTAACAAGGTAACACTGTGCGTTGATTTATAAGTTTTCAACGATGTATTTTCTTTTTTCAGGTATCGCCTATTAATTTGAAACACAGTTTGCTGATGGCCGAAAGATACGCCCCCAACCCCCAATATTCAGCGTGTTCGGGCACCGGAGTTCCGCTTCTTCGTAAGGAAACTCTCAAATTTATCAGCGAAATAGGGGAAGGTTGCTTTGGAAAAGTTTACAAAGGTAAATTTGACACTATTTTTCAACGTCAGGTTATTTGAATAATGAATGGATTAGTACACGTTTGTTAACTATTTTGTACATTTTTGGTTGTTATTACCAGTAGAATTCCAATATTTCAAGTATTTGTGAATCACTAAACATTGATTTTCAGATTATAAACGATATTTTATATTTCAGTTAAAAAAAAATGGGGAAAAGGATTTGTAATGTAAAGTAAGACAGATTTGTTTAATTACACTAATTTTGGTGTTCTTATATATTTTTGATTTTACAAATCTTACTACGGTATAACAGTAGACAGTAGGTATAATTACAAAATAAAAAATAAATAAACTTATTTAGTTTTAATTTGGTTTTTTGTTCTACTTGTCTCTTCTACTTTAAAATTAATTACATTATATTTTTCATGGTTACGAAAAGGTTAAATAAATTAATTGCAAATTACAACAAATCTTAAATTATAACAAAAAGTACAAAAAGAATGTAAGATGTAATGTTTACAGCATTACTATATATACCTACTCGTACATCCCTATTTATTCTGAAATAAACCAAAAAATAAAAATAAAAATTGTAATCATAATATAAAATACCGCTGCTTTATTTTATGCCTCTGTGGTCACACACGCCATCATATATCAAATAATTGCTACATTATTTTATGCATTAAATATATAATTTCAACAATTTCATACATAATAATTTACCTTCCACAGTTTATGTTTGCCTGTTACAAGCCAGGTCACTACTATCCATTAATAGAGCTGTGAGGGAGATCTAACAACTGAAATGATTGTTGACAATCTCTTTAGTTTTCTGTTTACCTGTTACCAGACGGGCTCTTTGTGAATGTGTCAGCGCAGAGCAATATGGCCGTATGGATGGGTGAACAAATTACCCGGGTCCGGGCGTCTCATAGACAACAACTGGCGTATACTCCAGATATAGTTGTAATAACAAATTAAAGATATTTATAATATAATAAAAATTAACTTTGACGTATTTAAAAAATGTATATACAGTATACAGGTATCCCAGATAAAATACTGCGTCCTTTATATCTTGAAAATACAAATATTGAAATCTGTACATTCCGTTGTTTTTAGTTTAAAGGGTGAAGCTTCATTCGGCACATTGTGAATATAACGCATATATGGTGTCGGCGTCGTGACGCTTACCTATATTTTTTTAAATTCCAAGATATATGTTTTAACGGATTTTATTAGGTCGTTAAATTGCGGTTACAACTTCATAAAACACTTCCATGTGCTCTACCATATGAAAAAAAGTCATTTAGTTGGCCATGCAATTTATTTTTATAATAACGATGTTGGCAACACCAACGCGTGCCTTGTTCACTTTGACAATTATGATCAAATAAACTCTCAAATTAACTGTCAAATAACTGCATCGTGAATATATTTTTTTCCGAAACAGATCTTACTAATTGTTTGTAAAATAAAGTATAATTTCATTTAGTTTTCAGTTTTTTAAATATTTTTTATCATTTGAAAATAAATAAATATCTAAGGTCCAGTTTACCGAATATTTGAATTGAGATTAAGTTGATCACGTGTTTAATGAGAAATTTACCGACATCTGATTGTCGTAGACAAAATTATATAACACAATTTTACAGTTTAACTTAATTAGAAACCGCAAAACGGAATGAACTCTTGGAAACGTTTTAAGGCTGTCGTAAGCATGGTAAATCGTTAATCAAACTATCTGTTTGTCTGCTCTCCCTCAAAAACTGATGATGTCATCTCAAAATTTTTCTTGATAAATCCTATCAAACATGTGCAAAATATTATGAATCTGTACCTGTGCATCTGTGCATAATATCCTTCATATTTCTTTTAAAAAAGCTTATATAAGGTGACTACAAAATTTAATGATGAAAGAATTTGTTTTATTGAACAAATCAAGAACGGCTCCCCCCATTTTGAGAATACAGCACGTTACGCATGTCATGCTTCACTACCTGTAGTTTAACAGTGTTCACACGTATCTTTGTTTTAAGAAATCTAAACTTAAACTAGTGGTGATATCTTCTATTGTACAGATTAGTGTCCAATTACGCTGTGCTTATGTGACATAAGAAAGTGTTCCAGCATAAAAACGCTTACGACTTAAAATTTAAAAGAAAAGTGTCCATAGCAGTGCCAAATAAGCGACAAATTTCAGAAGACTATAACAAGTATAGTTTACGACAGATTATGTTAATTTTAAAAAACATTGTAGGAATTACATAATTGTTTCTGTTTTTATACTCAGGGCAAATTCAAGGAAAAAAAGTTTGTTTTCATTTTGAAAAATGCGTATATTATTATTATCGGTGAGGTGGAGCGCGTCATTGTCGAATTATATTTCATTTTGTAAAACAATTACGAGGGGGAGCCTCGCGGCATTATGACATTCACGATTCATAAGCCCATAGTAGAAGACGATTCTGTCAGGTTTGTGCGGTGTGTATTAGTGAAATTGAAATGAGTAGAAGATATGTTAATACCAGTTCTAGCCAGGGGGTAATCGTGCTGATTTTTTAAACAGGTCTCAATTATTTAATCTTCATTAATAATATAAAAAATCACAAAAGTATTCCTATTTTTTGTTCAGTATCTTTTCAGAATACTAAAATAGTCGTGGTTTAATAAATAGTTTTTCATGGCAGTTACTCAGTTTTCAAGAGCACTCAAAGGCAGTCCGCTTCTTGGATATTTTGTGTCAAGTTAAGAACCTGATTTTTTAGTTAGCTAAAATGAGAAAATGGGACGATTTTAATTGGATTGAAGATTATTTATATATACCCACTCCACCTCACGTCACGTCACGTCACGCTACGTCAGGTCAGGTCAGGTATAATATATACATATAAATTTTTTTTTGAAATCATTCACTGTAGTTAACCAAAACTATTAAAAATAAAATTTAAGTAAGTGATTTTACTTGAATTTTATAATAACATAACTAATTAATCCATCCGCAAAACCACCAGCAGCATTTTTTCGTTATCTCTGCATAAGCTAGATGATAACAACTTTGGTCATTCAAAACACGCAAATTTGGTTTTCTCTTTTTTGCTCACCATTAAAATAATATCTTTTTGTACATTTGCACTCAGTGTCAAGATTTTTCGCTTCGTACAACATATTTGGGGTTGATATTTTATCAGTTTTATCACCATGATCGGAAATCTGTACTTTGGATCCGTACTTTTGCTGTCAACACCAAAAAAAGTTGCACAGTTTTCGTGATTGCTCGTGATTGCCAAATACATATATGGTAAGGACCGTTTAATACATCTTTAATATTATAATATAATGAATAATTTTAATTGTTGAGAAATTTTATACCCACATGCAACAACCATTGTACGATTCTACTACTTTGTGGGATAGCCCGATGAAATAAAATGTTGGTTGCCTATACTTACAGACTGACTAAATACATAAAACATATCTAGGTATTTATGTATACATATAACAATGGAATATTGAAAAAAAAAAAATAGCCTTTAGTTCTCAACTAATTCATTAGATTTAATAAGGTTATTAAAATTTGGCCAATTTTATTTAAAATATCCTAATCAGAAAAATGTAAAATTCTAATAAATCAACAAAATTTGACACTATTTTGTTAAACCAGATGTTGTATATGCAAATTGCAATAACAGGACTCGACACCAAAAAAATGCATAACCATCAAAAGTTTTACTTTTAAATAAAATTCTCATCTTGTGAAAATCAAATCATATCAAACCCCTTATAAAATGATTATATTTCCCCAGTATTCCTATAACGGTATTCCAGATAAATCGCCGCGGTCTGACAACGGATAAAAATATTGAAATTCAGTAAACGCCATTGTTTTTCGCTTGAAGAAGGAAGCTTAATTTAGTGCATTGCAAATGTGATATATAAGTTATATTTTTTTAAATTGCAATGTACAGGCTGAGTCAGCTAAAAGGGGACACCTCCAGTCACTTTTTTTTTATTTATTAGCCAAAAGTACTCTTCCTCATGTAAGATTTGGTAAAATGTTTTACTGGATTGTTCACAAAAACATAATAAATGAAATAATTTCATCAATCTCAAAAAATAAATTCATTCATTACTTACATAAAAACGTGTTTATCGAACAAAGCACAGCAAATGATTTAAGAAAATATTATTTTACAAAAGCAAGTAAACAATATCAATAGCTATATATTTTATTAACGTCCGTGACGGCTAAGGCGGTTATGGCACTCTTTACATTCGTGCTGTGTTCAAGATTTTATCGGTTTCTGCCTATTTTAATCCCATAATCCAAAAATTAATTAAAAAATAAATAAATTTGGTTGATTACATTTGCATGATATATTTCGGTGTCATAGTTACATTTTGTTGCTTATACAAAAAAAAAATGTGAACAGAATTAGAAAAATGTTGGAGTTAGGCGACGTATTGTCCGAAAATGTTAAAAATGCACCCAGTCAAGCATAAAACAGTTTATTTAAACTGTTTTATTTAAAACCGGTAAAGTTATTTACATTTATTGCTTTTCACATTCATTGCTTTTCAATACCTTGATAAATGTTGACAATTGACATTTGGGTAAGGTAATATATTACTCTACCAATTTTACATACAGTTATGGCTTTCCTACCAGCCAACTTTTATAAGTGTAAACAGCCATTTAATAGACATAAACCGGTAAAAATAATATTTACTGGAGTATGAGTATTTTTTTCTGAATTTTATAGTAAAATAAAAGTTGATTAATAATCAAGTAAAAAACAATAGCTTTCACAGAATTTCAATATCTCTATCCGTTCTCAAGATATCAGGCTGCGGATTTTTTTGCTGAGACACCCTGTATTTTTTAACGGATTTTGATAAATCATTAAATTACGATTATAATGATATAAAATACTTATAAATAAGTGTTATTGTATTAGTTTTAACTGTAAATTACAGAAATTATCTAAACGAAACATAAAACACTTTTAATAAAAG